ACTGTATGATTCCAATTATATGCCATTCTAAAAAAGGTAAAACTATACAAACACTTGTTGAAGTTCAGTCAATTCTGACTCATAATGACCCTATAGGACAGAGTAGAACTGCCCCATAGGGTTTCTAAGGCTGTAAATCTTTACAGAAGCAGACAGCCACATCTTTCTCCTAGAGCGACTGGTGGGTTCAAACCACCAACCTTTCAGTTAGCAGTCAAGCACTTTTAACCACTGCTTCACCTGGGTTCCTTGGTAAAACTTTAAAAAAAAAAAACAGTTGCCATTAAGTTTATTCTAACTCACAGCAACCCTATAATCGCCAATCTTTTGGTTAGCAGCCAGGTGCTTTAACCACTGTTCTACAAGGGCTCCTCAGCAAAACTAAAAAAAAAAAACACAAAAAACCAAACCCGTTGCCGTCAAGTGGATTCCAACTCATAGCCACCCTATAGGACAGAGTAGAACTGCTGCACAGGGTTTTCAAGGAGTGGCTGGTGTATTCGAATTGCCGACCTTTAGGTTAGCAATTGAGCTCTTAACCACTACAGTACCAGGTTTCCGGCAAAACTGTAGAGACAGTAAAAAGATCAGTGGTTGCCTGGCACTCAGAGGTAGGAGAAAAGAAATGAACAGGTGAAGCACAGGGGATTTGTAGGGTGGTGAAACTAGTCTTATGGTACTGTAATGATAAATACATGATATTATTCTTTTATTTAAATCCATATAACTGTAGAACACTAAGAATGAACCTTTATACATGCAAATTAAAAAAAAAATCATTTAGGACTTGGTCAGAGTTTCCCAGGAAAGAATGTAGACTGTGACTAAAGAATCTAACCATCCTACAAATGTAAGGAACAACCTCACTGAAGGTGGTGGGGGAAAAGGAGTTGATCTAAGTAACTATGGAAATGAATGAAATCTGTAAGATTAAAGGCAAGAGGAACTGCAAATAAGCAGTTTATCCAGTTATTCATCTAGTAGATAAAGTTGCTTCCCATGGGAGTATGGCTTAATGATTCTGATACTGCTGTACATGTATACTAGAATTGAGCAATTAAGTAAATTGATAGAGGATGATGGGAGCCAGGTTCTCAATGTTGGCTTGGGAATTTAGAGATAAGCAAGAAGAGGAGAATGGAATGATACATGTGGTAAAGGATTCTAGTTGGAGACATCTGTAAGAACTCATGTTTAACTTAATATAGATACAGATGGTTACACATCGATATATTTATAGATACATGTATATTCATGGGGTGGAGTCCCTGGGTGGTGCAAACAGTTAAGCATTTGGCTGCTAACTAAAAGGCTGGCAGTTCAAATCCACCCAGAGGCACCTGGGAACAAAAGCATTGTGATCTACTTCTGTAAATTTAGTCACTGAAAACCGTATGGAGCATGGGTCTCTGACACACATGGGGTTGCCATGAGTTAGAGTTGACTGGATGACAATTGGTTTGGGTGTTGGGGTTTATATATATGGGTTAGTTGTATATATAACCAAAAAAAAAAAAAAAAAAAAAAAAAAAAAAAAAAGCAAAAAAACATAGCCTTCAAGTGGTTTCTGACTCATAGCAACCCTATAGGTAGGACAGGGTAGAACTGACCCATAGGGTTTCCAAGGCACGGCTAGTGGAACTGAACCGCTGATCTTTTGGTTAGCAGCTATAGCTCTTAACCATATACCAAAAACAAAACTAAACAAAACAAAAATAAATCTGTTGCCTTCTAGTCGATTCCAACTCATAGCAACCCTACAGGACAGAACAGAACGGCCCCACAGGGTTTCCAAGGCTGTGAATCTTTATGGAAGCAGACTGCCACATCTTTCTCTTACGGAGCCATTTGTGGGTTCAAACGGCTGACCTTCTGGTTAACAAATGAGCGCTTAACCATTGGTGTAGTGGTTAAGAGCTCAGCTGCCAAAAAAAAGGTCGGCAGTTTGAATCCACCACCTGCTCCTTGGATACCCTATGGGGCAGTTCTACTCTGTATATATGATCGCTATGAGTCAGAACTGATGTGATGGCAAGGAGTTTGGTTTTTGTTTTGCTTATATATAAAAACCAAAAAAACCAAACCTGTTGACACTGAGTCGATTCCGACTCATAACGACCCTATAGGACAGAGTTGAACTGTCCCATAGGGTTTCAAAGGAGTGGCTGGTGGATTCGAAGTTCCAAACTTTTGGTTAGTAGTCAAGTTCTTAACCACTGTGCCACCAAGGCTCCATATATATACATATACAAGTGTATATGTACACTTTTTTGCTCTTTCAGCTGAGAGGTCCTAAAATAAATGACATCATATTTGCCAATAAAGGGAACCAGGGCTTCTTGGAGAAATGGCTGATACTAGCACTAGGGCAGGAAATATCTGAGTCTGTAACATACTGTAGTGGTAGAAAGAAAGTGCTAAAGCAAACAAACAAAAACCCACAATGGAGTCTGTATTTCCAAGTGACACAGAGGTCAACTGAAAGATCATCCAAAGGCCAAAGATAATTAAATAAATTAATAAACTGGGGAGAAGAGGTAATTCTCCCATGCAGAAGAATTCCAAATAAATTATGTAGATATCCGCACTAACGAGTGGGAGAATAACTACCCACACCACAAGCATGCGCTGTCCACAGTGACTTCCTTCTTAATAGTACAGTATGAAAAGTGGGGGAGTAACTTTACAGTGGAGAAGTCTGCCACATACTACTTCAAACAAGTGATCAAGGTCAACAACAACAGTCACAAATCATAGAGACAGAATATACCCTTGATATGATGTGATAAACATGGTACTGCATATTAACAAGGGCCACAGCGTACCCTTTCTCCCCCAAAAGGAAACAACCCAGGTTAATCAAGAGAGAAACATCAGAAAAATGCCTGTGGAGGGACATCCTACAATGTATCTGACCAGTAATCCTCAAAACTGACAAGGTCATCAAAAACAAGGAAAGAATGGGAAATTGTTACAGTCAAGAGGAGCCGAAGGAGACATGATAACTAAATATAATGTAGTAACCTAGATAGGATATTAGGACATAAAAAGGACGTTAGGTAAAAACTAAGGATATCTGAATAGCCTTTTGTAAGCTATAATATATCAATATTGGTTCATCAATTATAACAAATATATCATACAAATGTAAGACGTTAATAAGAGAATTCTGTATATTATCTGCTCAACTTTTCCATAAATCTCAGGGTGCTCTAAAAAATACAGTCTATTAATTTTTTTTAAAAGTAATACGTGAATTATAACAGTGAATTATGGCCATTATCTAAACCTTAGAATATTTAGCAACCATTTTTTTCCCAAAGTACATTTAATGACAGAGGAAATGCTCATGCTATGATGTTAAGTGAAACATAAAGGAGCAAATAATTTATCAAGCATAAAGTTAATCATGCAAAATGAAGAGAACATGTAAAAATAAAGATAAAAAAGAAATACATTATAAAGTTAAGAGTTAGTATATCAGTAATCTATTATTTTGGATGATTTTTATTTTTTTCCTCATAATTTTTTTAAACCATTTTAATAAGACCATATTATTTTCACTGTCAGGAAAAAAAAAAAAAAACTCTCCATATTAGAAAAACAAAAAAGAAAACAAGGTTTCTGGGTCTTCTCAAAGCTTCCTCTCTAACTTGATAGGGATTGAAGAGGATAAAAGAGGATGTAAAACAACAAATATCAAAAGCTTTTGGCTGACTAGATTATCTCTAAAATTACTTCCAACTCCAAGATCATATGAATTACATAAATTTTAATTCAAGCCCAGCATTTCTCAGTTATGCACCTGGAAGGGGCCCAAAAATATTTATTTATTATGTGACTACCAAATTTGCTGGTTAACACACTTTTGTGACAGGACAGATAAATTTAGAAATTACCCATATCCTAACAATAACACATTAGGAATGAGCCCAATTCAGTGTTACATAGTATATTTTGGAGGTTAAGTATGTATTTGCAGGAGACTGTTTTTTGTGTGTTTGATTGTTACTTTTTGGTTTGCTTGCTTTTGTTTTAAATTTCCATCTGACTAAAACAGGAAGCATTTCCTTGTATGCATTCATGCCTAGGATGGACATAGGTTGAATAGCAGTTAGTAAGGATCGGTAACATGCAGAATGACATAAATTCATAAATTGTCCTCAGAGAGTTGTTTAACTGGTTTGTTTGCTTTAATTTTAAGATTAGTCCACATGAATATCATCTGTAGAATACTACCAGTAACTATTAAAGGGATTTATAAGATGAAATCCTAAAAGAAAGTCATCATGGAAGTTGAACAAATGGGAACTTCATTATGTTTAACAGAGTTAGAGAATTACTAATTTTTAAATATGTAATATACTCATAGTGACCCGATAGGACAGAATAGAACTGACCCATAGTGTTTCCAAGGAGCGGCTGGGGGATTTGAACTGCTGACCTTCTGGTTAGCAGCCAAGCTCTTAACCACTGTGACATCAGGGCTCTGAGTGATAAAAGGACTAGCCATAGTAATTTTGGAATATACAAGAAATAGACCCACCTAGCAAGATAACATAAAATGAACTAATGTGTAAAGATTACATAATGTAATGAAATTGTAAAATGGTCCTTAGGATAAAATTACTGGAGAGGTACAAACTAAATTGCAGATATTTGGCAGGGAGGGGCCTGTTCTGCGCATTCCTGTCACATTTTATACTAGAATCTCTAAGTTTCACTCAATCCCAACTTGCTCCTGTGTGAAAATAAGGAGGGCATCACAACATAAGTTAATGATTACAATGTTTAGAGTAGCTATGTTTAAATATTTCTTGAAAAATAATATCCATCTTCCTAGTGTTAGGTTTCCATTTTGTCCAACTTAACTCTAAGAGTATAGTCATAAATCAGAACTAGAAGTTAATATCAAGTTATTAAAATCAGTTGTTGTTGTTAGGTGTCATTGATTAAAATCAGTAGACAGTAACAATTTTGTATACTTTTCTAGCCCTTACCTTCTGGCTCGTTTTTGATGAGCTCTTCCATTTTTCTCTGCTTCAAGGTGTCAACGACATCAGCTAAGCTGCCTTTGCGCCGTTCAGGAGTTCCCAGGGCTGTACTAGATAAGGACTCGCCACTCTGTCGCCCACCTTCTTCTGCCTTCTGAGGTGAGGTAGATGAGTTGTGTGGGGCAAATGAAGACATAACTTTATTGCCATCAACTTCCTGAAAGACAAGCAAAGAAAAACACACTTCTGTTTAAAATTCAATAATCATTTCTTTTTAACTGGTTGAGTGACTTATTCAGCTGAAACATTAAAGAAAAAAGTGAAATATCATTCTGCAAAAGCAAAAGGAATAAAGAAATTTCAAAAATGAATAAATGAACTTTACCAGCAAGCACTAAAATGAGCCAAAGATCAATTCACAGGAGACATCAAGATATGGGATTCTCCCCTCAAACTGAGTACAAACGGTCATGGAGCCTATAAAAGTCTATACTGATTAGTTTACGTTTCTACTTTGGTTTTGAGGGTCTCAGATTTTTCTCTGAACATTAAATGTAATGGCCATCTGCATTAAACTTCTGCATGAAATTATCGTATTTAAATAATTAAAATTATATATCATCTTAACTTTCGTTTTAAATTAGCTTAGGAAAGTACATAGATAGTACTCCTAATTAAAGAATCATCATTTTTAGTCCTCCACTGTCCTCTCATGAAATAAATAAAAGACAGCCAGCATGAGCCACAGAGGTTATTCTGACATCAGATAAGAATATTGTAAGTTCATTCCTATTTATGCTGAAGACATTTCCAACTCCATTAATTATCTGAAGCAGCTTCTGCCAAAATTATTCAATATTCTACTTTATACTTTAAGTCTCACTTTCCTAGGAAAATAAAGTTTTTTGCAGTCTTCTTCATAATAATGTGTGTGTTTGTGTTCTGTGTTTGAAAAGAATTTATTCTATAATTTTCATATTTAAACATACTTTTGGTGTTCCTATTGTCACTATTTTCTCCACAATTTCTAGCACAACTTTGGCAATATTTGACGTATATGTGTAAAGGGTCACTATGAATCGGAATTGACTGGATGGCAATGAGTTTGGTTTTCGTTTGATATGTATAAAGGGAGTCCTGGTGGCACAGTGGTTAAGAACTTGGCCATTAACCAAAAGGTGGCAGGTCAAAGCCACCAGCTGCTCCTCTGGAGAAAGATGTGGCAGTCTGCTTCTGTAAAGATTTACAGCTTTGGAAACCCTAAGGAGAAGTTCTACTCTGTCCCATAGGGTCGCTATCAATTTACTGTCTTTTATACAATATAAACCCAAAAACCCATGGCCATGAAGTTGGTTCTGACTCACAGCGACCCCATCGGACAGAGTAGAACTGCCCCATAAGGTTTCCATGGCTGTAAATCTTTATGGAAGCAGAATGCCACATCTTTCTCCTGTGGAGCAGCTGGTAGGTCTGAACTGCAGACCTTTCGGTTAGCAGCCGGGCGCTTAATCACTGTGCCAGCAGGGCCTCTCTTTCAAAAGTGATATTGAAATGATAAAGAAGAATTAATTTTCCTAATTAAAGGTTTTTGTGGTATAATCTCTTACTTCCATTATCCATTGATTTCCATAAAGGAGAGCGTGCCTTAACCATAAAGCTATACCCTAAGATCTTCGAGGAAGTCAGTCTCATCCTAAGTATATTTCTTAACTCTATGGCATGTAAGTATTTGTAACAATACACTTGAGTGTGTGTATATTAATGGATAATAGATTATACCTATGTTTATACATTTCTTCTCTACCTATTAAGACATATTAATATATCTGTTGACTCCAGAAAAGTGACAAATCACATTAATCTGATATCTAATGTTCTTAAGATTAATGCTATATTTTTGACAAGCTTAAAATATACTAAAAGTACATGACAAAAAGAAGTGATATTCTGATTAAAGAATAGATAGAGAGATGTTAACACAAACTATTAATATCCTTTTGCTAATGGATATTAGTCAGTAGACGGACATTAAGTTTGTTGGGTGGGGCTGAGAAATGAGAGGAAAGCATAAGTAAAAAAAATTATGCTACCAGAATTTTTCATATTATAATTCTAAATGGTTTGCATTTCTTATATAACATTATAAAATAAGCCTCTGACTAATAGTATACTCTGATGGAATATTCTACAGACAATACTTCTATATGTGAATCTTCACTTATAATGTAGTTGGATATAGAAATAAATTTTCATGATGTAACCATTAAAAGCCACTGCTGGGTAAGTGAAGGTACGATTCTGGAATTTTTATTTAAAACCTGCACATGGCATGGCCCCCAGACTCTCGGTCAACCCAGCACTAAAACCATTCCCGAAGCCAACTCCTCAGTCAAAGATTAGACTGGACTATGGGACATAAAATGACACTCGTGAAGAGTGTGCTTCTTAGCTCAAGTAGATACATGAGATTAAACGGGCAGCTCCCGTCCCAAGGTTAGATGAGAAGGCAGGGAGGGTCAAGAGCTGGTTGAATGGACATGGAAAATCAGGGGTGGAAAGGAGGAATGTGCTGTCACAGTATAGGGAGAGCAATTAGGGTCACATAACAAGGTATGTATAAATTTTTGTATGAGAGACTAACTTGAATTGTTAACTTTCACTTGAAGTACAACAATAAAATTTTTAAAAAAAAGGAAATAAAAAAAGGAAAACCTACACATAAACAGAAGCAAACACATACACACACCCCTAAAAAGAACAAAAATTCATTCATAAATAGGGACTATTTTTATCAATGGTCCATAATACACATTAGCTGAGTTTCATGTACAGGCCAGAATATAGTAAAATCTCTGTATTCATTTTCCACAGAAGATCTTTCTTCTATGTCTTTACATAGTCAAAAGCAGAAATGCCCTGATTTTATCTTCACTTTCAACATTTTGATTTTCTACTCATTGTTTTCATATCATAAGATAAGCTTTACAAACAAGAATTTGGTAGCTGACTTTCACTTTTCATAATTGAAAATTACACACATCTTTCTACAGCCTATCCTCACTAGAGGGAATGACACCCAAATTGTATGCAATGAAATCTACTTAAACAGCAGAAAATATTTCAAAATAAAATAATACCCATTTCGCAGGTCTCTAATTTTCTACATCTTGCAAAGAGGAAGAAAATATTTTAAAGAGTTTAACATATTTCACACGTATTCTAAACTCAGTCACCACAACAATACAACAGTAAATAAATTAATTAAACATTACCATTATTTCATGCAAGAATATTTATCTTATCACTATTTCACCGGTCTGATTACATTTCTGCCTCTGGCATTGTTAATCTGGTTAACAGTTTTATGTAGTTAACAGCTGTTTCTGTGTGGGACTCCACTGTTCACTTGCATGGTGAAAAGCTCGTTAAGGAGCGCTAGCACAGAATTCAGTCAAGAAAGTCCTATCACTTTCAGAGTTTCTTCCTTGGGATTGCATTTACCAATACCGAAGTAATGACTGCATGTTTCTCTTCACTTTACTGGTGGGAGAACACTCACAAGAGAGTCTACTAACAAAAGCATCAGTGGTCTAGACCTGCAATATATATTTAATCAATCTTTGTGAACTACAAGAACAAGTTTCAGTATTTTGCAGCCTAGCTCCCATAACTGTGAGGTATTATTTCTAAAGTTTAATGATAAAAGAGGCTTCTAACTTGTCAGAATGAGGTTGATAATCTTCCTTTGTTATTCCTGAACAAGGTTTATGTTATTAATCTTGTCCCCTCAGTCACCTCTGCAACCAAGAGCAAAGGTAGCAATCTGCCTAATGTAGTATTTATCCACACTGAAATATCTTTCTTCAAAATGCTTTTTTGTTAATTAATTCTAAAAGACAGCATTTTCCTATGAACACTTGGAGAGAAATATTATTTCAACCTTAACATTCGAATTTTAATTTAGATAATGTGGCAATTAAGCATTAACTCGTTTGTAAAAGGAAGAGAGATATTGGATCCAATCAGATACATATGTTCATTTTATTATTCAAATGATATCTCAGCCATGGCTTCTGGCCTCTGGAAACACATTATCATGCTTACTTCTCAGTTCTATAAATCAAAATTAAATTCAAACCAAGTAATAATAAACATGACATTTAAGACTCAATCTATCAGGCTATAATTGCTAAGAATTACAGCTTATGTGTACTGAATACTTACTTTGTGCCAGGCACTGTTCAAAGTAGCTTACATACATTAACTCAGTTAATCCTCATGGCAAACCTGCTTATCATCTCCGTATTATAGCTGGAGAAACTGAGGCATGCAGACTGAAGTAAATGCCTGAGGTCATATGGCAAATAACACAGAATAAAAACCAACTCCTGAGCCCTACTCTTAACCACAGTGATATATTGTTTCTCTCTTAAGAAGAAAGAAAGAAAGACAAGCTATATCTATCAATCTTACGGATTAACAAGACATACTGTCTTCTTTGTAAGTATGAAGAAGAGAAGTTTTCACCCAATATGTTCACCTCTTTAAGAACTGATGCAGATGTCCTGAAGTTAATTAAACCAACTATGCTGCAGATTTATAAAATTCTGTCCATCCAAATATCCATTGTCTTACATCATATTAAAAAAAAAAAAAGAACCTTAGGGGTTAAAGAATTATTAAAACTTAACACATCACTCTGACCTCTAAGTGGCCCATCAGAGTAATGATGCTCAGTAGTTTATAAACTTTTAAATATGTTTATAAAATTTACGGGCATCTCTGGTATCTTTCTAGTAAAATAAAGTTTTAAACATAAGAAAGAGGGAAGATTTAGATTATCATTAATTAGATTCTTACTAATGCTAGTTCATTAATCTCTTAATTTTGGTATTGCAAAGATGTCACACAAAATAAACTAGAGATACAGTGAGAAAGTGTTTTGGTGCACAAGTTTTGAAAAGGCCACGTTGTTCTTCCAGCAATGGACTGTTCTTGTAAAAATCACCAGGAAGAGCAAACGAAAAATTAGACATAAATCTTATAAACTGTATAATTTGGTTCTTCTTTAAATTCTTTTGAAAAGAGGGTGAAACATATGTTGTTATAAATATGTATTTTGAAGTTGAACTGCACTAATAGTTTCTTTGGTTAAATTAGGAGACGCTAAATTTAATTTGGTATTAGAAAAAAACACATGATTACTTGGTTAAAAAA